AATCAATCTGACTGGATGATCTGGTGAACTGGAAAGTGACCTGAGATGACATGATGTGAATTGGAGCTATAGAAATAAACTGAATAGAATTGAATTGAACCGAGGTTTGGGTCTTATTAGGGCGTCGGTCCTCAGAGGGTTGGTAAAATCCCAGAGTGCTTAATATGCATCATAAAGTTTTACACACAAACAGTGTTTCTATAACCTGATAACTTCCCAGTCTGCGCCAAAGTCCTGCGTTTGGGTCCTACTGCAACCAGAAACCCAACACAGATCTCTGTTGGGTTTTAATTCAATCTTATATTTTTTTCTTTGTTTCATGGTTTCCGTTTAATTTATCATCAAAGGTGTCAAATAAAGTATAAACACTTTGTTACCTTTGTTAGTTAGAAATTTAGGCTGTGTATGTGTCATGGTTTTGGATCTGCTCCAGTTTTTTAGTTTTCATTGCTTTCATTTCCATTGTTTACTCTGTTGCCCCCTTGTGTCAGTCTCCTTCCCCTAACTCCCTTCTAGTTGCTTCCATCCAAACCTGCTCCCAATCAGCTCATTAGTCCGATCTTTGTTCCGTCTCCCATATATATACTCTCACTGTGCAGCTCCTCAGTGCTGGTTCCTTGTCATTTCTTGATCCTGATGTGTGTTTCTCTTAATGTTTTGTAGTGTTTGGTTTCTATATTTAGTTATTTTTGGATTTTTGCCTCAGTTGCTACGTTTTTTAATTATTAAAACTGCAAGAAACCACTTCAGCACCCGTCTCTGCATTTAGGTCCTCCAAAACCTAAACCCAACCTGACATTATACTTTACTGGAGTAATTACTATTTTAGACAACTTTTTCCTTCAACGTCTCAGATTTTTTTGCAATCATTTCTAGTTTCTACTCCTTACATTTTAAAAATACACTCGTTAGTTTGGTTTCCTTAAAGCTCATTTTCATTATAGCCTGTTGGTATTAAAAAAAATAATAAAACCCATCAAAATATTTAGTTTCATCAAGTTTCACCACAGACCAAAATAAATAGTTTTTCCAGATGATGCAAAGTTAAATGTGATGCTGTTACCATTAGTTATAAAACTAATAAAATGAAGTCTAAGGAAATTATCATCCAGAATAGTAGAAAAATGTTCCTTTAATAGAGTAGAGCAGTAAAGCTTCTATCCTTAACAGTTTTTCCTGCATTAACTTTACATTTATACTTTAAGTAGTTTTAAAAATGGTACTTTTAGAGTTTTAATGGACTAAAAAGCTGAAGTTGATCCCCTAACTTCTACAAAAGTTTTTTTAAACAGCATTTTGTCACCGTCTTGGTTCTGTTAAGTTTTCTTTGAGTTTTCAGTTTCACGTTGATCCAGATTTTTCTTTGTTTTCTAGTTTTATTGGTTTAAATCCTATTTTGTTGTGTTTTCTGGGTATATTTGAGTTCTTAGGTATTTCTTGGTTGCCCTTTTGTGTTGGTCTCTGTTTCCCTAGCTCCCTTCTAGACTCCTCTGTTCACACCTGCTCCCAATCTGCTAATTAGTCCAGTCTTTGTTCTGTCTCCCATATATACTCCTCCTGTGCAGTTCCTCGTCCTTCTCTGGCTCATCTTGCATGTCTTCCCTGATGTCTCCAAGGTTCTGGTTTGTTTTGCATTTTTATGTTGGGTTTTTGGATTGCTGCCTCTGTTGCCCTTGATAACCTTATTATAACTACTCCTCACCTCTTCATTTGGGTCCTCAAAACCTCAACCTAACCCTGACAGATTTATACTTCTACTGGAATAATAAACATTATTACTTCTGACGCCTCTGCTGATCATGACTGGAGGTTTACGGACGAGCAGCGAGAATCTCAGACCGGAAGAACAGTTTGTGCAACAGCAAAGTTTTTGTGTCTATAGCCACATTTTACTAACTTTTATTAAGACAAGACTGAACGAGTTAAAGTTAAGATGCACTTTGGAACCACAGTTTAACAAAAACATGACGTAGGTAAAGAAATGAGCAAAAAGAAATATTTACAAAGGTCTTTTTTCTGGTTAAAACATCCTAGCAGAGCAAAACCAATGAAACATGACTCAGCAGAAATCTTGGACCCAACATGCTGTTCTGTTCTCCTCCCTCCCCCCTCCCCGTTTCCACCTTTGATTCACCTACAGTTTAACCATCAGTCGCCTTCTTCTCATCCATAAAAACAAACCAAGCCACATGAATTAATCAGGATGCAGCATAGATGAGAAAAGCTCTTAGTTTGACGGACATTTAAATGACAGTGCAGTGAAAAGGGCAACGTATAGTTTTTCCCAATGAAACAAAAAGCTGCTTTAAAGGTCTCCACTTTTAGACTTAAACATGCAACAAACAGAAGCAGAGCTCTGGGAAAAAAAAAAAAAAGTTTGGATTAAAAATAAAAAAAGTCACATCACTCAGACATGGAAACCCAGACAGAAGTGCAGACGCCGAGCATCTCTACAGAAACAGACGCCATGATAAACATTAAACTCTACATTTTTCCTGATCTTACAGGAAGCCGTGTCTCTTTCTACAGACACGGAGGCTGGTGTTAGTCGGTTAGCATTTCTTGAGGTTGTGAGTCCGACTCCTGGGGATCCGTCTCTCCTTGTTCTCGGCGATCTTCTGGTCCCGTCGCCTCTAAGCTTTGGTGGTCGACGAAGAGCTTAGAAGATGGTGCTCCAGCGTTTGGGGGGTGGACGGGACTTGGTTTCTCCCTGGGCAGAAGAGAGCAGGAAGATTAAAAATGATAATCTCTTTTATTCCTGCTGAAAGCAGCAGATTTCAAGCAGGAACCTGAGCTTAGAGATCACCATGGCGACTGTGTGATGCAATACATGAGAAGCTGGTTGATGGATATCCAAATTTACAGCCATGGGAAAAAGAAAGTCAAACATCTTAAATCTGTAAATTTCAAAACGAAAAAAGAGAAATATAATCTTATCTTAACCAGGCCTTAAAGTTAATTAGGCCACCTGCTGGTAGGAGCTCCTCCCAAAGCAGCATCCGTCACTGGGTTTAGCCTTTCATTTAGGTTGGACTTTGACTAGGACACTCTAGACTGACCTCTGTTTGGGGTCATTGCAGATAGATGTGACAGAACTCTGGCACAAATCGGGAAAAGACGAGTAATAAAACAGATTTCAATGCATTTATTTTCTCAAAAAATACGTTATTATTAGGGATGCACCATATTGGGATTTTGGCCGATATCCGATATTTTAAAACTCATGTAGCCGATAACCGATATCGATA